TGTCTGTAATGCATACATCGCTGCTGTTTGGGGCAGGGACTTGTCACATACGTTGTGTTTGTACAGCACTTAACACAACAGGTTTGTGACCTTCTTGGCCTCTAAGTGCTACCACAATATAAATGTTAACATTCATAATAAAATTAACCCTATCCCCACTAGCACTGGGAGAGCTATAGGAACAGATGGCATCTTTTATGGGTACTAGATAGCTGCACATTCTATTGCATATCCACACACTCATTCAACATTTGCTACAATCAAATGGGTGTGATTTAAAGGGGTGCTGGCCAAAAAGCCAGGTGCGTGAGATCACGCAGGATTTTGTTGGTTTTCAATAAAACCTGGCCAAGCAGCAGCAAATTCACTAAGCTAATATTAAATTAAATACTGCAACAGTGCTAGCTCAGTTGAATAAGTTAATACTTCTTGAATGACCCAGCTTTTGTCTTGCAGTGATATCATGTAATAAAGGCTAAGCACGCAAACAAACAAACAACACCTGCCCATGCAGAAATTCAACAGAATTCCTCTTTTCTTAAGGCTAATCTGTCCTCCTGACATCAGTATAATTCCCCAGTATAATAACCTTTAGTATAAAGAGAAGGGAGCATTACTATAGGTCTACTTCTAAGGATATGAAATAATTATGGCAAATCATTTGATTTCTTACAAAATTAAGAAGCTGTTGAAGATTCCATGGCACATTTCTCAGTAGTGGGGTCCCTCATTCCCAGCCAAATTCAAGTACGGATCATTACATTCTGCCCACCTACATTTTCCATTGGATACAGGATTCTTCCTGACCTAAACTGTAGGACACTGTAATTGTACACTGTTCAGCAGCTGCTGCATTCCACCCCAGAGGTGACTACATTTTAGCACTGGAAGTGATTTCTATGTCGTTTATATGCCAGTGAGTAAAGTGCTTCACGATGCTGAATGGAAGAAAGGTGGTTACAGGTAAAACATCAGAAATATTTGTGCACAGGAACAGAGGTTACTATCCTTCCTTTGCCAAAGCACCTGACAAAGTCTAAAGAGATTTCCTCCTGCAGAGCCAGGAATCAAACCCAGTTGCAGGGTCTTAACCACATGACCCTGCTTCCTACGGGCAGTAGTGGGAGGGAGCTCTCTATGGGGGAATGGAATAGAAAAGTTTTATTAAAAAAAAACAACAAAAACTTGGATTTCACCAAAAACATCCCAGACTGACAAGGTGTGTGACTTCCGCTGGCCCTGCTTCTGCGCAACTAGTGGCCTGAAGCACAGAAGAGATTACTTTACTTACAGCTGATGAGATTAATTTAATTAATAGAAGCCTGTGGTGTCATTTAAATGATATAGCCACAAGCTCCTCCAGAACTCCAAGAGGCTGTTACCTCTCCAGCAGAATAGGCACCATCGAGCCTGCAGGCTCTTCTTTGCATAAGATGCAGAAAAGAAGCTGTGAGTGCAATTTTAAGTGGGGACGAGTTGCCTCTCGGTTGCAAATATAAAAACTAATGTTCTGCAGATTTCCCAGCAGGCTGGAAAGTGCTGAAGTATAGTGCTCCCCTAATGCCTCCCTTGATAGGGCAACTCTGTAGATCCAAATTACATTCCATTCATGTTGCTACAGTTAAACTTACAATAGAATGTTCATTATGAACCCGACTTTCAGGCGTTTACAGTTTAACCCTAAAAGCCCTCTCCAGCCTGAAACAAAAGTAGATGAGGTCTGAGTGCATTGTTAGCAAACAGCAAATAAAATAAGTCGTGAGAATCCCTGCTTAGTTACAGAAGGGGCTTAATTATGTCCTTAGTGGCCCAGTGTTTCCACCCCCCTTAAAAAATGTTGCAACTAACTTTCTAACTTGTTTAGCAAAGGAACTGGCAGCTCCATGCTTGGGAACTGCAGGAAACCAAGCTGAATCCTCTGAAACGGGGCAGGCTTGGTCTTTTCATAAGGAAGGAATCTTCCATGCACTGTGCTGTTAAACAATGCTGCTCTGAAGCCGGAATGGATGGAGATTGTGCTGATAACTTAATCGCTGCCCACAATACTGAAGTGCCTGGATGTTTCTGCGGTAACGATCAGCAGCAGTGAAGCAGTTAAAGTTCCTATGAAGGGCCTTGTTAATCAAGCTGTTGAGGCCAGGGGTCTGTTTACCACAAATGTAAATGCTAACTATCTGTTTGTACATACAAACTGCTCAGTAAACTCCGATTGGGCACACATGGCCAGTCTTCACACACAGCAGCAACAACTGCATCCACCAAGTAGTCACATGCTTGCATGTACAGACCTCAGTTTTCTGAAAAGCACGCACCCCATTAGACTTCAGAGTTGACAACCAACTGTTACTAAAGGAGGCAAATCATGCCTCTCAGAGCTATTGTTTCAGACGTGTGTGCACAGGCTAGGGCGGGTAACACAGCAGTCATTTGGAAGACAACAAGGGCCAAACCCTTTTTTTTTGGACCGATATCATGAATTATAGAACACAGAGTGGCCTGGCAGAGATATGCAGATAAGTGTGGCAGCTCAATCTCACCCCTGAACTGCTGGTCTCAGGGCGAGAAAACAAAGCAGACAAACCAGTTTTCACTGTGGGGTGCAATCCTGGGTCCTCCTTCCCATAGCTACAGAGTCCCTGTCTGCACAACAGCTTTTAACTGAGTTTGTAACAGTGAGTGTCACGGCTGGCTCTAAACATGGTTGGTTGCCCACATGCAAAAAGGTTATCACTCTATTAGTAATTGTGGTAGCTAATAGTGTTGTCCCATCGGCAGACTAATCTGGCACACAGCTCTCTTCTTATAACCAGGTTGTTGCAACGTGGGCTCTATGCTTTTATTTTCCCAGAAGGCCTGATACTAACACAATCAGGTAGTGCAATGGGGTTGATAAGCAAACTCTGCTGCGCGGTGAGATAGCCTGTTGTCGTAACCAGGTCAAAGGAGTATCCAGCTGCGTGTGAAATATAACAGGGCCAGAATGCCAGAAAAACAAGCAGCTGTGCATTTCAGTTGCTCCTGTCTTTGGGTGTAGCCTGCACAACTTTCAACATGACCGTAGCGAGATGTTTCCCTTTCTGCAGATATTACAGCGGTAAGTGCTATACAAAACCCTACAGAGGGGCAGACTGCACCTTTCAACTCTCTATCATTCCTGGACAAAGCAGCTAGATGCACAAAGCTGTGTGATGTTCAGTCACCAGCTAAAAGCTCTAATGTTCTTTCCAAAACAGATATATCTTAATCTGTGTCTTCCCTGGTCTAGAGGCAATATATGTTAATCTAGACGGCTGAGCCTGAATGGAAGGAGAAATATCTAATGTATCTAAGGTGTGAGCGATACCGGTAGGAATGTTTAATAGTAAGGTAGAAACAGTTAGATTCCCACTTGCCGATGGGATGACTGACTGAGGCTCCCAAATGAATGGAGCTCTTAACCTTATTAAGAGGCTTATTGTGTATTTGCCATTTGAGGCTTTCAGAGCGTTCCATGTTATTCATGCAATATCTTCCCAAATCAGCAGCCCTGTTTGACACAGTCAGTAAGCAGGCTAACAGGCTTGCTCTTAATGTCAGACTCTCTGTACTCTTTGCTTAAAAAGGATTAAGCAGCCTTATCCATGTTACCATCTCCCCTGGCTTTCAAAAATAAGAAATCTCTTCTATTCATAGCCACTTGTAATGAATATTTATACTCTCAAATCTCTATCACTGGGCTCTGTCACTGGATTATTCAATTTCATAATACTTTTAGGATAACTAAAGGGCCCTTATAATTGCTAATCGCAGCCAACAAGTAGGCAACAGATTGAAAATTCCCCAGTACATGAGCCCTGAATAGGCTTACAGATGCTGGATATGAAGAGTTTTTTCCCTCGGCAATGCAGGAATGTCCTACAAATGGCTTCTCTCCTCTCAGTGTTTGAAGAATCAATGCATCATGTTCCATCATAAACCTCCATTAAGCTTTCTTAAATAAATAAATAGAGATATCCTGTCTCCTAGAACTGGAAGGGACCTTGAAAGGTCATCGAGTCCAGCCCCCTGCCTTCACTAGCAGGACCAAGTACTGATTTTGCCCCAGATCCCTACGTGGCCCCCTCAAGGATTGAACTCACAACCCTGGGTTTAACAGGCCAATGCTCAAACCACTGAGCTATCCCTCTCCCATCATTGCTGCTTCTCAGGCTAGGTCTACACTACAGCGGGGGGGTCGACCTAAGATACGCAACTTCAGCTACGTGAATAGTGTAGCTGAAGTTGCGTATTTTAGGTCGACTTACCTGGCTGTGAGGACGGCGGCAAGTCGACCGCGGCTGCGCCACCGTCGACTCCGCTGCCGCCTCTTGCCGCGGTGGATTTCCGGAGTCGACGGCAGAGCGATCAGGGATCGATTTTATCGCGTCTTCTCTAGACGCGATAAGTCGATCCCCAATAGATCGATTGCTACCCGCCGATCCGGTGGGTAGTGAAGATGTGCCCTCAGAGTGTGTGCATGAACATAAGAACAACCATACTGGGTCAGACCAAAGGTCCATCAAGCCCAGTATCCTGTCCTCTGACGGTGACCAATGGCAGGTGCCCCAAAGGGAATGAACAAACAGGTTATCATCAAGTGATCCATGCTCTGTCATGAGCAACAAGAAGTTTCAAACTGGTTCCCTGTCTACATTTAGGCACCTAACCGCTCACATGATCATTTAGAAGTCTAAATACATGTAGGGGTCATTTAGGTATCTACTTTTAACACCCGATTGGCAAGTTAGTCTTGGAACCAGTCATGCCACTATCAGTGTTTGTGAGGTAGCAAAACCCAAGACCACGCACTAGGCTGTGGCTCCATGAATTGAAGTAGAACTGCTAAAGGATGTGTGTGTGTGTGTCTGTCGGTCTGTCACAGGCCTCAGACCACTACCCGCTAAAAGAGATTCGCCTTTAATTTAACTGGTGTTAAATGCTAACCCTAGGTAAACAGCATGGATTCTAAAGGGCAAACCCACCTGACCCTGCGACTCTAGCTTTACTTCCTCTGCAGCAGGGGGCTTGGTCAGCGGGGCCGGAGTCGTATTGCATGGATCCATCTGCTCCGTTTTCTCCACTTTCACCTTCACATCGTCCAGACTCAGGGCTGGGACCGCAGCAAGGTCCTTCTCGTCCTTGTCTAGTAGGTAGCGTAGGAGCTGATGGTCCTTAGACTCCTTTTTCTTCAAGGCCTCTGGCTCCAGTTTGATTTCAGGGGTCCCCGGGATCTGACTCTGAGAGGTAGGGGTGGTGGCAGCGTTTGGCGCGGTATCCTTCTTGTCGTGCTCCATGGACAGAGTGGTGATGTCGGAGGGGCTGCCCTCCTGTAAGAGCCGGTGTAAGATCTTGTGCCGCTCTGTGAGGGAGCTATGGGAAGAGGGACACGTGTTGCCTGGAGGGTTCCCAGAGGCACCCGTGCAGGATAAGGGATCTTTGCAGCTAGTATCTGCATCAGTGTGCCGCAGCTGTTGTTCTGCCGTTGTGGCCAGGAGCTGAACCAGCTTGTGGCTGGTGGCTTGGGAGCACTTGGCGTCTCCCTCCGAGAGTCTGTCACTGGCATGTAGCAGGCCTGAGTCCAGCGGCTTGCCATCGCTTGAGCCGCTGTCAGACTGAATCATCTCGCTCAGGATGGAGGCAATCTCCTTGCTGTCTTTCGGCTCCGTTTTCACAGGCTGCATGCTGAGCCGGCCGGGCGAGTTCTGGGAGCTCGGCTGCCTCAGAATGGGAGGTGGCGTGGAGTAGCCCATGGGGGTGCTGGGGCCTTCGTTAAGCCCCTGCATAGAGTTTATCGGGGCATTGGGGAAAGGCCTGTTGCTGCTGCCACCGCTGCTGCAGCCACTGCTCGCCATGCCCACAGGGGAGTGCATGGTAGGCATAGTAGGAGAGAAAGGATTGCTTGGCATTCTGGGCCTTGGTACCAATCCTGGGCTAACCCGATGCCTAGGAGACATGAACTGTGCTGGGGTAATCCCTGGACTATTCATGGGAGAGCTATTGAGGTTTAAAAGGTGGTTATTGTTCTGGGGACCAGCTTGTCCCTGGCTTAAGGCAACATTGGCTCCAATCTGATTCCCAGGTGAACACCCAAAGCTTGTCTGGCCGGTGCTGGAATTGCTGCTGTGGAGGCCAGAGCCTGGCTGCTGATTTACATTGGTCGCCAACATGCCACTGTTGGATGGAGGGATGGCGGACGAGAGAGCCATGCCTTGCCCTGGGGACATGCTAGGGTGCAGCGCAGGGCTGACACGGGGAAGGGGCATTCCAGAGTTAGTGTTCTCTTGAGGAGAGAGCATGTGGTGATCCCTGGAAGAAACAAAAAAGACAGAGGGGGTGGGCGGTGGGGAGAGACAACTCAGAAGACGACTCCACTAAATCTGTAGTACAGCTCAACTAAACTTTTCCAGCCTCTTTGGGATTAAGCTATCACATAGACACATCAGGCCTGGTAAGTCTGACAGCTGCAGCTTGTAAGATACGGTGTTTTCATAGTCTTTCCTAGCCCCACCACTACACTAGGATCCCAGGAGGAAAGAGAGCGTATTTCAGTAGCGTTTGTGGATGGAGCAGCTACACTGATCTCTGTAGGTACTTCATGGATTGTGGCAACGGAGGGGCTACAAATCTATCTCAGAAGGGAAGGTCTACTTTGGGCTGTGTGCTCTCCCATTGGCAGGAAGAGGAGAGTGCTGGGAGAATGTAATTCTTTCCCCTCCTCCATCTGGTTGCATTTCTTTAGCACATGGTAAGTTCCCCCATCTCTCCTGTTCTTTAACAACCTCTTCCTCCTGAACGAGTTTGAGTGCAAGTTCTCCAGGACGGGGCATGAGCCTTAGCCATGCTGGTAAAGCGCTGTGTGGATTCATGGTGCTGCATAAGCATCAGATAGAACTGCCGAGCCACAGAAATAGCCAAACTTTAGTGAACTTTTGCTGCCTTGGCTTTCAAACATATGGACTAAGCTCCCCCAGCGCAGCGCCTAGCTGTGGGATTGCAGCCCCAAAACCAGCATGAGAGGATCACCCCAGCCACCACTGGCATAGAACCAGCGCTGTGACTCCTAAGCCGCCACCCTCCCTGCAGCTGACACTGATCCCTGACCACACTTACAGGCTCCTAGATGCCATTGGCAGCTGATCTAGCTCACAGCAGCCTCCAGACTGTCCCTACTCCCGAGCTGTGCTGTGCACTCCTCAGCCACAGCTGAGGATCCAGGACAAGTCCCAGGCTCCGCGAGCTAGCAGCGATTTCACCCCAAGTTCTTGGGACTCACCTGTCAATGATATGGATGCCCATGATGAAAGGCTGCATTTCTGGGCTTTGAGGATAGCAGAGCTTACACTTGGTGTGGGCGCTAAGTACCGTCCCGTCGCTCAGCGTGAATCTATACGATGGACTGAAGGCCGTGCCACGTGTCATCACTGGGGGGAAAACAAACCAGACGTGATCCATCCATCTGCTTAGCAATTCAGACAGGGCTCACAAAACCTTCAAGGGGGAATGTGGGGGGGTGCAGGATGGTGGTGAAGGTAGTAGGGGACTGACTTCCACCATCCCTCTGTGCGCATGCGAGGATAGCGACGCAGAGTTTGCAGCCACCTTTGCACCTTCCCCTCCTCCCCCGGCCCAATTGCACTCTGTGTATTTTAACAAGGATCCCGCCATTAGTGTGCAAACAATGGAAGTCAAAAATAATCCTCCAGTGAAGTTATGGCAATCCAGGTAGTCTCACTGCACTGTTCTTCACTGCCGTATGATGTTTACATTGCCATTTTCAGCTGCACTAACCCAGTGTATTGCAGCTAGGGTGACCAGATAGCAAGTGTGAAAAATCAGGACAGGTGGCAAGGGGATAATCATAGGACTGGAAGGGACCTCAAGAGGTCATCTAGTCCAGTCCCCTGCACTCATGACAGGACTAAGTATTATCTAGACCATCCTATAGGTAATAGGTGCTTATATAAGACAAAGCCCAGAATATCAGGACTGTCCCTATAAAATTGGGACATCTGGTCCCCCTAGTTGCAGCGGGTGTTTCAGGAAGATCTGAAGGGTGGTGTGATGCAAGTTAACTTCTCAATGCTGCTTGTTATGGGCAGGGACGTGGGGCACAATGTGGGCCAGGAATGGCTGAGCTGTAATTGATTGCCTTATCAATGTACTTCTATTTAAATCCATTAAGCACTGTCCTTGAGCATACAGTGCTAGAGCAGCAGAAAGGGCAATTATTCAATCACCAGTGTACAGTACATACACAGTGTACCCTGATGAATCCAAGCCAGGTTCTGAGAGCTACAACAGGATACTAACCACTGCAGCACTGGCCGAATTAAATCCTTCTCGATGCTCAGCCAAGCTCCCTAGGAGACATTCTGTCTTCCAGACTTCCTTTGTTAGTGTGCTCACCAACAGTGCATCAAGCTTCCATGACAAACCCCCAGAGGGAACAATATCCTAAATCACTACCATGATCAGAGGAAAACCCTTCTAAAAAAACTGTCGAAAAGGAAGAGAGCTTGAAGATCAGGCATGGGACTTTGACACTGGGTCTGATGTGTGTGCATGGAGTGTGGGAGGGGGGGGGAAAAATCACCCTCTGGTTTTAATGCAATGACTACAGTGGGTCTTTGGAAGTTTGTCTCGTTTCTTTATTTGCAGAAGGGTGTGAACGAACCTCTAGCCTGGCATGACACCCATGAGTTTTGGGCCAATCATATCCCCTAAGCAAGTCACTGTAGCAGTGCTGGGATGTGAATGGCAGCTTGCTAAATGCTGTGACATCCCCAGCCAGCCTCTCCAGTTGCAGGAGCCATTTCTGTGCTACTGAACCCTTTCTGCTACTTCTTCGGCACTTTATTATTAGTGCAGAATTCGTTTTTTTTCAAGAAAGCACTTATCCAGCAACAAGGGTTACGCATCAGCTTCTGATTGAAGCCACCCCAGCTCAATATGCAAGGCAAAGCACAGCAAAGAGAGAAGCCTGTTACCTTCTTGAAATAGCTGTTTGGCATAAGATGGCTCTCTGCCCTGAGGCTGGAAGAAAGCATAGATGCACTTCCGCACTAAATCCTCCCAGCCAGTCCTGCCTGCGGCTCTTAGGGAACTGGTGTCAATGGAGATAATTTTACCTGGGTGGAAAGAAAATTCACATTATTCAGATACAGAAGCAGTGCAAAAGAAGTCACTTATACAGCTCTCACTCTTACCCTCCCGGTGTGGCATGTGTATATAGGTACACACAGAGCTAGAGGCGCACATATACACTCTACCCCGATATAACACTGTCCTCGGGAGCCAAAAAATCTTACTGCACTATAGGTGAAACCGCGTTATATCGAACTCGCTTTGATCCACCGGAGTGCGCAGCCCCACCCCCCGGAGCGCTGCTTTACCGCATTATATCCAAATTTGTGTTATATCGGGTCGCGTTATATCGGGGTAGGGGTGTACTTTGATTTGAAATGAGCTTTCACAACTAAAATTAGACGCTATACTCAAAGTTTGTACAGTGGGCTGAGCCTAGCCTAGGTAATACTGGCATAAAACTGGAGTAACATAGTAGGGAGGTCCCAAAAGATCATCAGTAAAGACATCTGCATGTTACCCTCATCAACAAGACCTCTCTCTAGTCTAAATTCAGCATCACAAAAACCAGATCCATCCAACGTGACACCAGCCAGGCAATCAGCGGTAACACTAGGGATGTCCTTACACAGATCAGAAAAATGAAATACAAGCCCAAGGAGTTATTTGCCTATAGAGGATACTGAAATCCAGGCAGCTTTACTAAACGACTGACCGATTGTGGACATGAAGAGAACAATAAGAGAGGAACATGCACACAGTGCAACTTGTTTCATTCATGAATACCTAGGGGACCCACCAGAAATCGAGCATTTCTCATCCGTTCACCAGTTTTGTATTGAAACTTCACTACCCTCTTCAAAACTGTGTGCTATACAAGTATCCATTTTAATTAAGGGGGAAGCATGGCTGGCTAGCTTCAAGCCAGCCATCCTTACAGACTGTTTTAGTTTAGCACCCTGTGGCACTATCTTACTGGCTGGATGAAATGCTGGGACCATGCTACATCTGCAACTACATCATCTTACAGTTCTTGCGGAACAAAGATGCTGTTAGCCTGGAAGCATTTTGATCGCAAAGATGGCACCTACCCCAGAACAATGCTCCGCATCCCCCAGCATAAAACTCCCCCGAGCTCACTGAGAACTGTACCTGTAGTATCTTGCTTGGTCATGAAAGATTCTGAACTGGTGACAGCTGGAGGTCGAGGTAATCTCCGTGCAATGCATATCAGACAGGATTGGAAATCTGCCGTAACAGAACAGGGTGGGGAAGAGTGGGAAGGTGTGAGTCCAGGATTATAGAAACCACTTGCAATTCAATGTTTTAATTAAAATAGCATTGTTGTACTCGACAGCCACATCCTACTCTGGAGGCCTTTACCTGGCCCGTCACCTAGGCCTTCAAAACAACAGAGCTCTCTATAAGCGCTATGATGTTTGCTGGAGAGAAAAGAACTCCATTGTTCGGAGGAACTAACTGTGAGGCCTTTCAGATCTGGCAGCGCCACACACTAAAAGTCAGCACTGAAACCCAACAACTGTTGGCTCCAGGGAAAGTATCTGGTCATAAAATACTGTAATTTATTCCTTCCAATCATGATCTCCTGAGTAAGCTGCAATGGATTAATTCAGTTAATGCACTGGAAAATCATGGCTGGTACACAGAAATGAGGGTTCAGGTTTTTTGCAAGAAGGCTTCTTTGCTCTACCATTTGGAGATCAGTGGCGGATACGCACTACGGCCCTGATCCTGCAATCGGATCTGTACAGGGTGACCCTTATGAGCATCAGGAGCCTTAGCAGAGGCGCACCTATACAGTTCCGACCGGGGCCTGAAACTCACTGGCAATGCAGCGCTGCAACAATTCTCAAACACTCCAGGCCCCACTGGGGGCATCAGCTAAAAGTAACAGAAATTAGAGCTAGAGAAGTCCCGTTAGGCCAGGGGGAATCAATTATTTTTTGTCAAGGTCCAAATTTCTTGGTCAAGGTATAGTCAAGGTCCAGACTCCAGAGAAAAGAATACAAAAATAACAACAATTATGATAAGAAGTACACAAAAAGATGTTGCAGTCTGTTCTAAAGCGCCTGGCGGTCTGGATTTGGCCTGTGGTCCACCTACTGACTGCCCCTGTACTAGGGCATCGAGTCCACCCACTGGGGATCAGGGCAGGACTGTGCCGTGCAGTCCGGTCCAGTCTTACCCACCCCAAGGAGTGGGACTCCCACCATTATTCTGCAGTGACAGAGCTCCCTGTGCAGCAGCTTTTCATACCAATCAATCTACCTTTCCCTTTCCTTAATTTCTACCTAACATGCGCCATTGTAAGTTCCCCTGATGCTCGGAAGGGCAGCCTGTCCCCATCTCTGCTTAGGGAGGGAGGGTAAAGGCTTGTTGACTGGACAGCATCAATCCAGACAACAGGAAATGGATAATGTAAGAGCTGGAGACTGTTCTCACTGTTGGGGCAAAGGGCCAGCATGAGACCTGTGCTCCCCACTTCAGTCCCACTCACTATGGTGCACAGGCCTCACTCTGGCTCTGCATGAGGGAGGGGTGTCGCCCGGTGGCAGCGTAAAGCAGACTTGCAAAATGTTGGATTTCCCCATTGTTCAGCAGGTGAGTTAAATTTCACTAGCACTTTCCATTCCCCTCCAGGTTAAGGAGGGCAAGGAGACCTTGTGCCAGTGACTTCTCTGCAAGACTGACACAGGCTTAGAGCCTCATTTCCACCAGGTCTTCCCACACATTTCACCCCAGGTGTTTGAACACCACAGCATTGCCAACCCCTGGGGCTCGGCACAGTGCTCAGAAAGGACTTAAAGGCTCCAAATGTGGTTTAATCTGGAATAAAAAACAGAGGAGGGAGGAGAACCAATGACAAACATCAAACTCCTCTAAATGCGTTCCCACTTGCCCCATCTGCATTTCCCATGCTGTGCCAGGCCTGTGCTGAGGAGGCCAAACCCTTGGAAGGCCCTCTGGGGAGAAGGACTTGTGCAACTGATCCTGTGCCACTGCACTGCCAGCCGTCCCAAACGCAACAGCAAACGGGGCAGGCTGAAAGTGAACTCTCCGAGGCTGCTCTCGGCAAGAACTACAATCTCCTGGAAGGAAGTCCTGCATAAGGACAGTAGAGGGCAGTTCGTCCTCTCTTCCCACTCCAGCCTCCTTCCCTTCCCCAAGATGCAGCACAGAGCAATCAAGCAGGGTTTGAAATAAATGATCCTCTGCCCTACCTTCTCCTTCCTCTTTGATCGATTTGGGCTGGGACACGGTGAAGCACTGCATCACCTCATAGCGCTGGCGAGCCTCCTGGTTCTCCGCACCCAGCTCATCAGGGGGGCGGATCAGCATCCGGCAGCTGAAGGTATGGCTGCTGCGTCTGGTGGCTTCCTGAGGCCAAGGAACTCCATTTACTGTGGCGAGGGAGAGGGGAAAAGAGAGACTGTCACAGACTGTGATCACAAGTGAACATTTCAAACGGTGGACGCTAAGGATCAGAGTTCGCTGCCTGAACCTCATCATCAGCATTTGCTATGTGCATTTGCTAGGCACCCAGAGTAAAAGTGCCTGGAAGAGTTTACAGCTGAAACAGACATGGGTGGGAGGGGGAGCAGAGTCACAGAGAGGTGAAATGACTTACCCGGAGTCACCCAGCAGGTCGGTGGCTACAAGCCGGGTCTCCTGGGTCCCAGTGCACTGCCTTACCCACTGGACCACACTATCCCTTTGACAGTGGTGTGATAATACTTTGCACTTACACAGCCTAACATGTCCAAGGAATTCCAGGGTTGATGAATTACACCCCACAACACCATTGTGAGGTAGGTACTACAGGTATTGTTATTTCTGTGTAACAGAGGGGGAAACTGAGGCAGAGAGGTGCTCTGACTTGCCCAGCCACACAGTAAGTCAGTGGCAGGGCCAGGAATAGAACCCAGTTCTCTTGACTCCCCATCCAGTGCATCAGCCAGAAGAACCTTCTTCCCCTCCCCTCAGTCACAGCAGCAGCTGATAAATCACTCATGAGTCAGCACGTTCCAGGACATTTCACCCGACAGGCTTCTCCCTCCAAAGATCATTCGGGTCCCCAGCACTGGCAGCTCCCTAGACCACATCTCCATCAACTTCGCTGCCACACAGAGGCTACACGGAGCCATGATTTCCTCCCTTTCAAGGAGGATTCTGAAGGCAAGTGGTCTGGCTCCCTGCAGAGCAGCTGCTGGCTGAACACAACCACTGCTGTTGAACCAGGCTCTTCAGGCTCTATGAAATCAGAGTCTACTACACTGCAAGGGCAGGATATAGCCTTCCCGCCACCCCCAGTAGAGGATGCATCTGATTTTAAAGTGATACTACTGGGTAGGTGGTGAGTACAGAAAATGCACACGCTCACATTAGGACGAGATCGAGGTCTACCCCTACAGAAATGCACAGAGGGTGGAAGTGCAAGAAGCAAAGGGGGATTACACAGAATTACTGGTCACACTGACGGCATTGTGAATAAATTCCCCACCCCCAAATTTGCTCCAGCATGAAATTACCTTCTTCAAAGATCAAGAACGGTAGCTCAGCTAAAACCACCAGACTGCAAGGCAAAGGGAAAACCCTTTCCCCAGGCTAAGGAACCAGAGTAGCCGCAGTGAAGCAACACCAATCCAACAAGCCCCTCTCAGCACAACAAAATGCTACAATCAGTGATGCTAAGCTAAGCTTACACTAAGTGAGAAAATTAACTATTGACAGCCCAAGTAAGAAGATGACTTAGTAGTGCTAACAGGACTCTACACAATTACCTATAGCGAAGTAGTACCTACTGAGCACAAAAGCCAGATTTTCAAAAACATTTGTCATCCATGATGGTTAGAATAGTTCAGTGCCAAAAACAAATGGCCAGGTTTTCCCAACATGCACTCAACATACTGAGCTCTCAAAATCTGCCTGTAAGCGTTGCAGTGTGTTCCAAGTGCTTGAAAACCTGACCCTATGTACCTGGAAAGCCTTTGGTAAGGTCCTTCACCAAAGGCTCTTAAGCAAAGTAAGCAGTCATGGGGTAAGAGGAAAGGTTCTCTCAGGGATATGATCTGGAAAAAGGGGTAAACAGTGAGGTGGCAAAGTTTGCAGACAATACAAAACTACTCAAGATAGTTAAGTCCAAAGCAGACTGCAAACAGTTTCAAAGGGATCTCACAGAACTGGGTGACTGGACAACAAAATAGCAGATGAAATTCAGTGTTGATAAATGCAAAGTAATGCACATTGGAAAACATAATCCCAATGCTACATACAAAATGATGGGGTCTAAATTAGCTGTTACCGCTCAAGAAAGAGATCTTGGAGTCATTGTGGATAATTCTCTGAAAACATCTGCCCAGGGTACAGTGGCAGTTGAAAAGGCTAACAATGTTAGGAACCATTAGGAAAGGGATAGATAATCCCAATACATAAATGCATGATACAACTACACCTTGAATAGTGTGTGCAGTTCTCATTGCTCCATTTAAAAAAAGATCTATTAGAAAAAGTGCAGAGAAGGGAAACAAAAATGATTAGGGGTATGGAACAGCTTCCATATGAGGAGAGATTCAAAAGACTAGAACTGTTCAGTTTGGAAAAGAGGTGACTAAGGGAGGATATGATAGAGGTCTATAAAATCATGACTAGTGGGAAGAAAGTGAATAAGGAAGTGTTATTTACTCCTTCACATAACACAAGAACCAATGAAATTAATAGGCAGCAGGTTTAAAACAAACAAAAGGAAGTATTACTGCACAGAGTGCAGAGTCAACCTATGGAACTCATTGCCAGGGGATGTTGTGAAGGCCAAAACTATAACTGGATTCAAAAAAGAATTAAACAAGTTCATAAAGGACAGGTCCATCAATAGGCTATTAGCCAAGATGGTCATAGATGCAACTCCATGCTGTGGGTGTCCCTAAACCTCTGACTGCTAGACGACAGGGGATGGATCACTAGATAATTGCTCTGTTCTGTTCATTGCCTCAGAAGCATCTGGCACCAGCCTGTCGGAAGACAGGATACTGGGCTGGATAGACCATTTGACTGACCCAGTATGGCCATTCTTATGCCAGAATCACGACTGGTAAGTACTGGATCCAAGGGAAGCGTTTTCTCTGTGTTATTTGTTTGATTCCCTTTTAGATAAGACTCTAGACCAGGCACTGTGAATGAATGGGGGACTCCCCACAAAAGAATGGGGAACTCACCAAACACACCAGCACATGAAACCAACATGCTGACTGAAATCTCATCCTCGTTATCATTATTTATTATTTGTATTATAATATCACCTAGACTCAACCAACTGAGATGAGCACCCCATCGGGTGAGTTACTGTGCCAACGTTAATGAATTAATCCTTGCAACACCCTTGGGAGGTAGGTATTATTACCCCCCACCTTTTACAGACAGGGAAACTGAGACACAAAGATGTGTAGTGACTTTGCTCCAAGGTCACACAGTGAAAGAGTGGCAGAGCTGAGATGATTTCCTGACTCCCAGCCTTGTGCTTTCACTATCCTTAAATGGTGTTCTGAGGACTCATGCAGTGCATAGGCCTTGAGCTGGCCCTCTGCATAGGGGCACCTTTCACCCTTACTTCTTGCTGAAGCGCTCACGTGGCTGATGGAAAGGCAAGTCATGCTCATATTGCTTTCATGGTACACGGAGGCCTCCCTCTGGAATCAGTCAAAGTAACTGCTAATTGTGCTATTTACAGTTCGATACAGCACCTACTGCAGAGCCTATGGTGGCCTGCTTGCAGTCTATCACAGAGCAATGAAAAAGCTTCCAATGTTTTTTTCTTGGAAGTGGTTTAATCATAGGGACACATTCTGGATTTCCACAGTTACAGTCGTGTCAATGGTTTTATTATCAACCACTATTTCAGCTGGGTTATAACTCAGCTGTAAAAATTCACTGTAGTCTAAGACCCGGCAATTTAACTCCTAGCTCAGGTCCAACTGGAAAAAAAACAAAACAAAACAAAAACAAAACACACATCACACATGAGAAAAACTTATCTAGCTGTTTTGGCATGTAGGTGACTTAGCTTAAATTAATTCCTTACCAAATTAAGCTAAATCAATATAAGGCAGGTTTAAACCAATTTAAAAGTATCCCCACAGGGGGTTGGATTGCTTTAACTAGTTGAAAAACACACTTTAACTACCATGGTGTAACTATGTGAGCAGACAATGCCTTAGTCTCTAAGCCCGCTTCCACATGCGGATAACTTGAGTCAGCAGCTCTTGAGTGAAGCTCACTCGAGGTCTGCCCCTATACCCCTAAGACATGACAGCCAACTCACCTTATTACCACCACTACGCATGAGTGACAGGTTTGTGTGTGCTGATGGGGGTCGAGCTAACCGGAACAGTGGCGCTATACCTCCCTGTTAACTCATTAGTGAAGACAAGCCCTCGTGAACTGTAGCAAACCCCCTCTGGCAGATGCTTGGTGAGGTATTAAGAGGCTATATACAATCTCCATGGGCCTTGGGGAAAATACCAAGGGGTGGGAGAGGAAAATGGGAAAGACCTTCCTGAGACCCAACCAGCCCTCTCAAATTCATCCTTTGTTTTAAATACACTGCTTGGCACATCGAGGAATTTTTGCTACAGAACAAGAATTCCACACTGTTTAGCATGATCAAGCAACTGTGTGGACCTAAAAGACAGTAATGGCTCCAACACTTGTTCAGGCCAGTGGTCTGTGAACTTATAAGGGTTTATCTAATAGGCCCTAACTTTGATATAGAATCATAGAATATCAGGGTTGGAAGAGACCTCAGGAGGTCATCTAGTCCAACTCCCTGCTCAAAGCAGGACTAACCCCAACTAAATCATCCAAGCCAGGGCTTTGTCAAGCCAGGCCTTAAAAACCTCTAAGGATGGAGATTCCATCACCTCCCTAGGTAACCCATTCCAGTGCTTCACCACTCTCCTAGTGAAATAGTGTTTCCTAATATCCAACCTAGACCTCCCCCACTGCAACTTGAGACCATTGCTCCTTGTTCTGTCATCTGCCACCACTGAGAACAGCCGAGCTCCATCCTCTTTGGAACCCCTCTTCAGGTAGTTGAAGGCTGCTATCAAATCCCCCCCTCACTCTTCTCTTCTGCAGACTAAATAAGCCCAGTTCCCTCAGTCTCTCCTCATAAGTCATGTGCCCCAGCCCCCTAATCAATTCCGTTGCCCTCCACTGGACTCTCTTCAATTTGTCCACATCCCTTCTGTAGTGGGGGACCCGAAACTGGATGCAATACTCCAGATGTGGCCTCACCAGTGCTGAATAGAGGGGAATAATCACTTCCCTCAATCTGCTAGCAATGCTCCTACTAATGCAGCCCAATATGCCATTAGCCTTCTTGGCTACAAGGGCACACTGCTGACTCATATCCAGCTTCTCGTCCACTGTAATCCCCAGGTCCTTTTCTGCAGAACTGCCACTTACCCAGTCGGTCCCCAGCCTGTAACAGTGCATGGGATTCTTCTGTCCTACGTGCAGGACTCTGCACTTGTCCTTGTTGAACCTCATCACATTTGTTTTTGCCCAACCCTCCAATTTGTCTAAGTCACTCTGGACCCTATCCCTACCCTCCAGCGTATCTACCTCTCCCCCCAGCTTAGTGTCATCCGTGAACTTGCTGAGGGTGCAATCCATCCCATCACCCAGATCATTAATGAACATGTTGAACAAAACTGGCCCCAGGACCGACCCCTGGGGCACTCCGCTTGATATCGGCTGCCATCTAGACATCGAACTAGACATTATATTATCAAACCAGTAGAATGTAGGCAAGGTGGAGAGGCCACAGACTTGACCCATCTTGAACAAGGCATTGATCTTAGGGCTGCAACAATTCATTTGACTAAAACCAACTGTGCACTGATCCTACAACAACAAACCAAAATGTAGCTTATTCTTTGTGTTTGTTGCCACGTGCCTGAAACCTACCCAAAAGCCCCAGAATTCAAGAGGCAGGCACATTTTTGGCATTCGGCTTTAATAACATCCCCTTAAAGTCAAAGCTTTTTAAGCTGTGTGTTTAATAAAGTTAGCTGAGGTTTCTGGCTGAGTAGCCAATAGAGGTTCTTACTGGGAGTTACATGATGGCACATAGAGTAAGCATATTATTTAAAAAATGAGCTTAAATGCAGATTAAGCGACAGGCATTTTGGCAAGTGAACAGGCAGTCGATAGGATTAAACAGGATTCTTTACACTAGCTCTCAAAACCCAAACGTCCTCCAGTTATTCGCTCTCCAGATGACCTTCTCACACTGCCCTCTAGTGTTCTCAAGTGTGCACGGCATGCACTCAACTCCCGCTAGACAACTTATTTCTTAACCCACAAAGCCCCAGAAAGTTTTGTTGTTCCACAACCCTTGAGCTATTCTGATCTAGGCAGAAAGTTGCATCAGTAGCAGAAAGCAGAGAGAAAAGGCTCTGACAGCCAACAGGAAGAGCATTCTTTACAAAAAGTTAATAATAGTTTCTATTATAGGAGGGATAGTCTCATTGTGCAAAAGTTCATGGATCAGACTCTGAGAGCTGAGACGGAAATATACACCTGCTTTATTTCTTTATGTAGCTAACTGGTTTGTGCAGCTCTCCAAATTCCAGTGTGCAGTTAAGTATAACAAAATCTCAGTCATTACAGAATTAACTTCACTGCAAGAACAACAGCGTTTTATAGTGTTCTTCAAATGCCAAAAAATAAATGCTGTAAACATCTTGACGTGATTACTGTACTTTGCAATCTACAATGGCTCGCATCTGAAGATCTCAGAGCACTATACACATATTAATGCATCTAGTCTCACAACACCCGTGTGAGACAGACAAGTAAGACCCCAAAGCACAGAGAGGTTACACTTCTCCACTTTAGGTAACACAGGGACTGTTGTGTTATAAACCCATGGACAGGCCGTTAACAATCTGACACCAGGAAAACATGGCGCAAATCCCATTTTTCTTTGAAATAAAGAAGGAAAAACCCATCCGCTTCTTACCTAGAGACTTTGGCAGCAAATTCTTGACGAACTCCGCGTGATCCCCTACATGCAGGATGCTGTAGACACTGGTATTCATGAGCTCCTCCTGGTTATAACCCAGGTAGCTGGTCACATTCTCGGACACAAACACAATCCTCCCCTCACGATTCACAACGAAGAAAAAGCCATCCAGTGCCTGCAATGTCCAGAGGAAACAAAAATGCAGTCAGTGCAAGAGCAGCTGCTCCAGAAGGTAAAGCACTGGAGTGAGTCAGGAGACCAGGGTTCTATTCCACTGACCTGCTCTGTGATCCTGGGCAGGTCACTTTGCTTCTCTGCAACTGTTTCCCCCTCCTGCTCTTGTCTATTTAGACTGTAAACTCTTCAAAGCAGGGACACTCTCATTTTGGGTTTGTACAGCACCTAGCACAATGGGACCCTGATCTCACTACCATAATAGAGAGAACAGATCACTTCAAGTGGTCTGATGTAATTAACATTTTTCTCTGCTTGCACAGTCCTTTCATTTTGCTTTGATTCCCCCCCTCCGTCCCAGTAATGGGTTGTTCTTCATCCTCTTTTAGGTGTGTGGAAGGCTCCTTGCTGTCTATGGGTGGTGTCTGGTGAGCTGACCCAAGAGCACAGATTATCTAAAGCACAGCCAGTTGTATCTACTTGACGGTAAGAAAGGAATAACCACAAAGATCTGTATTGCAATTAGCCAAAGGGCTCTAATGGTAATAAAATATTTCACAAACTCTATGGCTCCTTTGCTGAGGATCAAATATCAGTACATTTGCTTAAGCATGTACTATGGCCCTACAAGCTACAGTAAACAGACCTCTTTACTCTGGGGCATAATAGCTAGTAGCAAACAATCCTCTTTGAAGAGTCAGATTGTCAGTGAGGCCGATTCAATAAAGCATGCAGGTCAAGCACATGATTGCTTTGCTGAATCAGGGCCTGAGAACTAAAAAATACTCAGCATCTTGCAGACTAACTCATTTTACATGTTCCTGGGAAACAACAAATCCAGTCCAAGCTCTGCAATCACAGTGAACTAGAATATCTGCAAACAGGGTCCAATCTTGCACTATTAAAACCAGTGGGAGTTTTGCCATTGAGTTTAATGGGACCAGGGTCAAGTCCTTATTTACTCCTTTGGTACGGGTCATGAGGGGGAAACTCTTTCTACCAGCATGGAATAGCCCAATGTAGGAGACTTCACAGTTTCTGGAAGAAGCCCTGGGAGAGGCAGATTGATAATTTACAGGACTCTCCTTAGGTGCTTCATGTCAGTAGGATTTGATTTTTACCTACCCGGAGCCTAATTTAATCCCATCTTTAGTAATTAACACAGGGGTAGGCAACCTATGGCAAGCGTGCCGAAGGCGGCACGCAAGCTGATTTTCAGTGGCACTCACACTGCCCGGGTCGTGGCCACCGGTCCGGGGGGCTCTGCATTTTAATTTAATTTTAAATGAAGCTTCTTAAACATTTTAAAAACCTTATTTACTTTACATACAACAATAGTTTAGTTATATATTATAGACTTAGAGAAAGAGACCTTCTAAAAACGTTAAAATGTATTACTGGCACGCGAAACCTTAAATTAGAGTGACTAAATGAAGACTCGGCACACCACTTCTGAAAGGTTGCCGACCCCTGAATTAACAGCAAGCGCCCTAAGACAGGCCCTGATCCTGCAACTGAATCCATGTGGGCAGACCCCTGGTGCTGGTGTGCAGCCATGGCATTGCACAGGGCACAAGAGTCCAGGGATCAGACTGCAGAATCCGGGATTTGTGTTATATGGACAAAACCAGGTTTTTGTATTTTACATACACCTCCCCTCCCCCATATGCAGCAACACTCTATCCCCTTTCTCCACCAAACATATGCCCTATAATTGTATTGTCTTGTGAAGCCTGAAGTGAGTTACTTTGCTACATAGTCTCTGATTTTTATTTAATACATTTTCTGGAAATCAGGTTTGCTGTAGACAGAGCAACATTCAATGCTAGAAACAGGAAGCAATTTTTTTTTTTTAAAGAAACTGTCAAAATTGCCCTCGCAGATCAACCACAATTTTCCTTTTTCACAGCTGTTGCCTGTTGCCAAGCAACCAGCTTTTGCACTTCATGCTCCCACAGAAGAGACAGACTCCTGTAGAAGAGTTAAATGGGTTTGTCCGAGGGCCCTGTATTAAACTTTACTCCCAAACTTCCCTCCTTTTCAAGTACATCGTGATATTTCCTCCATTCTCTCCCCACCACCTCCCATCACACACCCAGTAACAAAGCTGATCCGGTTATTCTAAAGTATTTAGTAAAGGGAGAACAGCATGAATAAAACAGATGGGAAATAAGAGTGGCTAAAGAAACAGAATGAATCAGCACCTAACAAATGGTTCGAGCTTGGGTGTAAATCAATCACGGCTCCATTAACACAGTCGGACTGATGTCTAACCAGCATGTAACTGGTGCTGAATAATCCATTTCCGGAAATTAGCAGAGGAGCTCATGCCTCTCTTGTGAGCATCCTAATCAGAGGCCAATAAAACACTCAATTTTTTTTTTGAGGGAAACTAAGAAAGCAGGGGGGCCTTGGACCCAAGCCCTGCAGGAAAGTACAAGACAAGGTTTCTAACTAGTGCTGTCTGCACACAGTACTCCAGGGTGCTTTGCAGAAGGAAGAGGCTACTGAACTAAAACTCATGTGGGGTAACAGAACCCACTCCTAACTTAGCAACACTGCGCAAATGCTACTCTGGGGTTTACAAATACTTGGTGTATCAGCACTGCTGATTGTGGAGCTTGTGAACCATAATGAGGGATGGTTCTGGTCCCAAACAGTAGAAAACCTAACAAAAATAATTTGTCTCTCTGTAGCCCCTTCCATTTGAGGCTGTAAAAGTGCTTTAACAAACATTAATGAGCTAATTGTTTGTGAGGCAGGGAAATCGTATTATCCCCCACAGGAAAACAGAATTACAGAGAGATTTGCCCAGGAAGGCCATCCATAGCAAAGCGGGAAATTACAACCCAGATCTGCTGACTCCTAGTCCTTGCACTTTAGCCCCAAGAGAATCCTAGAACACAAAGACTACCCACTAAGATGTCACTAATTAAGCTAGCCCAAGCATTACTTTCTATGGAGAAGATTAGGAATATAAACATTTAAAACCTACACTGGTGCTGTCTTCTAGTGAACATGTTGCACCGTAGCAAGTTAGCTCCTTAATGGAAGAAGTGGCAATTGATCTGGTACCCAGCTCAGAAGGTCTAGGAATGCAGCAAAAGGTTTGTGAGGTGACAGAAAGGGAGTGTGGCCATTAATATAGAATGGAAATTGAAAGATAGCATGCAGATGACCCCATGGTTACAAATCCTGATGCAGAGTCTATCTCGGTACTTCCATGGCCCTCATCACTACAGTGGCTGAGTGCCTGCAACTCTTAATGACTTTAATAGCGGACAAGCACTTAAGGATTTAGGTCCTTCGGCGCAGCAAGCTCTCTTATCCCATGAGTTAAAGGAAACAGCAAAGGACAAGCAGGTGTGGGTGGGAGTCACCTCAGGAACATTTTCAGACAGCTGAATCTGAATGTTGTTTGGGAACCTACTGGAACCAAAAACTGCTTCTCATGGTCAGTTGTGACAGAAAACTAAACTCTTCATAGTTGCCTCAACATAAGCTGGATCTGAAGCCATTCCTCAGCGAGATCATTTATTGGGAACACCATTAATAATACTAATAACTACTGAGCACAGATGGGGAGTGTTTCCAGAGTGCTTCACAAAAATTAACTAATATGTTCTCACAATGCCCCGTGCCTCTGTTTCCCCACGTGTAAAACAGGGGTTGCAACATTCAGCTACCTATAGACATTCGTTAAGGACTCTAAAAAAAGTCCCATTAATAGATTTCATAAGCCTAAACTATACTGGGTTGGAGAGAATGAGTCTTTCCTCCTCTCCAACATGAACAGCAGTGCCTGGAGGCGGGAAAGGGCCTAACACCTCTAAAAGGAGTAGTTTGAGGACAGGAGGGGAGGAATTTGCTTTGCTACCGCCTTGTGGCAGGATTATCTAGCACTCCTCACCCCCTAGTGCAGCCACAGCCTCTACCCTCACCTTACCAGCAAAACCTCTCTGTGAGCAGCTAACAGCATGAGCATTACCCCCACTTGCAAACCCTAGTGCTGCAAGAAAGCGGATGCTTAGCTCCTGATGGGGGTGAGGGACGCCAATGTGCTGAATATATTGAAAAGAAATTCAAGCTACACATCCAGGCATTTTCCTAAGTATTAAAGCCTTGATCCTGCAAGCCCTTATATGGTGCACCATAACTGCTGCACTCCAGCCCAAGTGCAAATGGCAGATAGATAGGGGCACATGTAAGGTTCCACTTTAGGCATCATCCTCCACACTGAAGCCCTCAAGCCCTCTGAATACCTGCTCTTTTAATCACAAGAACACAAAGGTACAGTAGGATATGAGAGAGGAAAGGGTGTGTCTGGGAAGACCTGGGTTGAAGTGCAAGGATCCTTTGGTTAATGAGGGATTAGCTACATGCTTCCCCTCTTAGGCCTCAAACCTGCTACTAGGCTGGCGTAACCTGGCACTCAGATTAAGGCAGCAAAAAGATTCCCTGCTCCCTTGGTCCAGCTCATCACCTTGCTCTTATCCTTGCAACACGCCACAGCCGCACTGTGCAGGAGCCAGACCTAAGTGAGCATTAAGGGCGCCCAGGGTTAGACTACAAATACAATCTGGAAACCAGAGATAAATATGGGATTTGACTTATGTTGATGATACATTTAAACAACAGCATGTAGCCTCAGTGATCTCAACGGGCATTGGCTAGGGTCAGTGTAAATTACCAAATGAATGATGTTGGAGGTCTGGTGTCAGGAGGCGGCTTTGTACTCCAGAGCAATTTACCCATCTATTAGTGTGTTTTGCATGCTGGTTGTATGGGATCTCAGGTTACAAAACTATCCTTCTGTCTGCATAACTGTTAGATATTTTTAGCACACTGTGTATAATGAGTTCTTCACAAAGCAGAACTTAACAGAGCCACAACACACCTTTGTTTTAATTCCCTGCAGAAATGACCTATTAATGCTAAACTCTGAGCATGGAGCCATATTCTCAGTCATGGACAAGCTGATCTAATTAATGCCCCATCCCATATAAGCACCCAATTTTTTCAACCCCTATAGAGAGCTATTGGCTAGGCCTAGCAGCTTTGGAATAAAAGTGTTCTTCAACTGTACTAGGATCTTAAACTGACCCCTGATTTCCAATTTAGGAGAGCTATATCCAGGGGTGACTTTCCAGGGGTTGCTCTATAAAATTTTGGGTATGCTGAAAATTTATTGATGCCTCTTAGGTTACTCTAAGTGCCAACAAATAGGCAGCCCAGATGTCTGGCTTCTTCCGGTTCAAGAGTTCAATCCTCCATTGTTCTAGCAGGATGCACAACTCTCTTAGGGGAGCCCAAGCTCTATATTACTCTTGAGGAACTGCCACCTCTCTCAGGACAATTTTGCCTCTTTTTTTTTTTTTTTTTTTTTAAACTCTTCTCACTCACTGTTTCCATTATCCAATGCTGCTTTCCCTCTAATGCCACTTCTGCTTTTTTGCTTCTTTAGACAGCACCTCCTTTGCTGAGCAATCAACTCCCAGTTAGTCCTGGCCACATGTTTCAGGCAGATGGCTTTCATTCTCTTTACAAATCAGATCCTTCCCTACAGTTCAAATATGTTCTCACCTAGGCATTAATTTCGTCTGTAGTGAACCTTTGATTCCTCAGTAGCTTCATTTGCTATAAAAGTGCTCCTATTGTCCCAGAGTCTCCTGCTAGTAAGCAGACATAGGCAATCATGATTTAGCACTGTCAGCCCTTTACTGTAGCCAATACGTCTTTTTATCAATTAGTAAAAACATAAGAACCACTTTGGCAATTGCATCCACTTCATGCCAAGAAAAGAGCTTTTTGTCAGTCCCGTACCATCACACTTCACCGTATTTCATGTTAGACAGATCTAGTTAGCACAGCCCTCACCTTCCTCTGCAGCACAAGGCGTAGGTCATTCGCTAGGATCACTGCGGGATCTCTCTCTCACTTCCCTGCCACAGAAAGGCCTTGGGCATTGGTGCCGTGGGTCATAGTCAGAGTTTAAGGCCAGAAGAGACCACCAGATCAGCTAGGCCAGTGGTTTTCAAACTTTTTTCATTTGCGGACCCCTACAAAATTGTGAATGGAGGTGCAGACCCCTTTGGAAATCTTAGATATAGTGGACCACAAGTTGAAAACCACTGATCTAGACTGACCTCCTGTCTATCCCTGGCCACTAGCACTCACACACTAAACCCAACAGGTCCCTTCTGTTCTCTGCCATGGCACAAACAGTTTAGCCTCCTGACGGCTGTAATACTCACGTCTAATTCTGGTTGTTGGAGTTGGCATGGAAGCGGCTGGGTGATGTATACTGGCACGTGATATATAGAAGGTCTGTCTAAATGATCTGGTTGCTCCTGATGCCCTCAAAATGGGACTATTTAATGCTGTTGCATTTTAATGGCCCATTCCATTTAACTGCTTTGCACTCAGTATTCATTCTTCCTGCCTTTAACTCTTGTTTTCTCATGCCTTAGCTGGGAGGAGGAAGTTTACTAGCACACATCTAAGAGCCCTGGTGCCTGAAAGGGCTAGCAAGTCTTCAGCACCCCTGGCAGTTAACAAGACAATCTGTCTAGCCGGTGACTTAGGTCAGTGTGGTTGAAAGTTAAGTTTTCTCCCAAAGCAGACGGCTTTCAACTTGCTCAGCTGAATGATGGCTCTTCAGTCATACTGCGTCCCCCCACAACAACGCTCAGGCTAAGTGGAAAGAATGAAATAACTACACAGAGGTGGGCAGGCATCAGCAGGGCACCTTTATACCAGTATTAAGACGTTGCTCACTATGGTTCTGATTCATGCAAAGCACTTAAGCACATGCTTCAGTTGCTTTAATTTCAGTGGGATTTAAGCATGCGCTTAAGTGCGTTGCTGATAGGGCTAGGATTCCCATGCTTAAAGGATATGCTGAACTGGGGGACTAATGTGGGTTACCCGCAGCTTTAGCAAGGGATAATCTAGCCTTGGAACAACCTGATTGGGACTGTGTTTTCCTACTATTCTGTATTTTACTTTCTTGGTCAGAGATTCATTAGAACAACCTCAGATTTCAAATACGAAAAGACTGGTGGTGTTACTGATTGCAATAGAGCACTTACTTCCAGGAGAAGAGGTCCCAGAGATTCCTTTTCGATCACTCCTTGGCTGCTGGATGAAATGTCAGACTTCTGGACGTCATCATCAGCTGTTTTCTCTGCAGTAAGGGAAAGGACATGTTTTAGTTGAAAAGAACCATGTTTTTACCACTGAAAAGCTATTGATTAGCAACAAAACATTGACTATTGTTTAATATCCATTGTCCCAGTGAAGCAACAAAGTGAAGTGACTTCTGTATTTTGATCTGTGCCCCTTTCACTGTATAGAAGGGGAAGCAATGTGAGAAAAGAAAACACCATTTTCAATTGTAATAAAATGTCTGCATTAGCTAGAACCCATTCTCTCCTCCCTGGGTTCAGAGGAAATTGAGGAACCACTCACACATATTTTAAAGAGGAAGACTGAAAAACATCAAGCTTTTGAAAAACGACTAATCAGCTCAGCCTTAGTACGGGCTAAAATATTTGAGCAAATAATTGATCTGTAAGATCTGACAACATCTTGATGAGCAATCGGCAGCAGGAGTTCACAAAGAACAGACTGTGCCGGAAGAAACCAGATAGCCTGCTTTGACACAAGCAGCACAGGTTCAGTAGACAAAGACGTAGCTATGATGTATAGGTGGCCTGATTTGCAGAAGTGCTGAGTGCCTGGGGCTGAGTTGAATGGGAGCTGCAGGTACCCAGCACCTCTAGAAATCAGGCCACTAGGTTTTAGTAAAGTTCTCGACATAGCCCTGCATGAGAGAGAGAAAAGTCAGAGCTGTGTGAGAGTTTTATTTTGAGTATTATGGCTCAGTTAAAAAACTGGGTAGCAAACCTCATTATTGAACTAGACTCCAAGGGTGCTAGCTGCTTTACAAGCCAATAATCAGACATGAGCCTTACCCCAAAAAGTTTATCGTTTATGATCAGACAAATGGGGGGGGGGGGGAATGTGACATGGCAAGTGACTACAGTAAGTCAGCCATGAAAGTGAGGTGGTTTCAGGTTTATTTGGTTACTCTCCCCTGGCACTCTCTTCACCACCCCTGTGGCTGTCAGGAGCTGATTGGCCTTGGGAAGGAAGTGAGTTTTGAGGAGGGGTTTGAAAGAGGAGAGTATGGAGACAGAGCAGAAGGATTATTTTGTGATTAAGGCACCGGACTGGAACCAAGAGCGCTGGGTTCAATTCTTGGCACTGCCTCATACTCCCTGCATGACCAGTGCCACCTGTGGATAATTGCACCTCCCAACTTCACAGGGGAGTTGTGTGGATAAATACTGTAAACGATGGTGAGGTGCTCAGACACTACAGTGATGGAGGCCATATAAGCGCTAGCTCCATAGTCAGGGAGGGGATGTTCCAGGCATAGGGAACGACCAGGAGCAGGAGTATGAAACTACGAGGATGGCTAGTCATGTGGCTTGAGTGCAACAGAGAAGAGAACAGAGCGGCAGGTGGGAGCTAGACTGGGTAGGGCTTTGAAGAGGGCACAAGGAGCTCTCACGTAAGGCAGAGGGCCAAGGGAAGCCAGTGAAGGGGCAAACAGAGGGGTGAGAAATGGGACGATTCCAAGTTGGGAAGAAGTAAGTCAGTTGCACCTTATCTACAGGTCTGATCCTTAAAGACTGAATGCTCCCCAGAGAGGGCTAGATGTCAATGGGTGTCAGAGCTTGGTGTCAAAGCAGCCGGTGGGACGAGGCCCCAAATGCACGGACCACGCCCAATTAGCAAGGACTGTATAGATGGAAAGTACAGAGAGACCGACAATACTCAGAAAAGCAGAAGTGTCTCAAAATAGGCAAATGGCAAATTAGCCACACATCTCCAACAGCAAGGATCAGTTGTTGGATTAATTTGCTAGGGACTTAGAATGGTGGGATACTTATCGGAAACATTCAAGAATAGACCAGATTAAAGACATAGGAGTTTAGTACAGAGACCTATCCCGGACATGGGACTAACTAGGTCTCCTAGGAGGTCCTTCCCAAGTCCACCATCTATAATCCCCATAAGGAGTGGGGTGAGAGCTTTATGGAACAGACATCTCACCCTTCATAATCCCGGTTCCCTCAATTGTTCACACAGCATACAGCTGTAATACAATCTCATGACAAAGAACTTGGTTACAAATGGGAGACTCCAGACAGGCATCCAAAACCTATTCTCCACCCCTTGCCCCGTTCCTGCACTCTTAGCACATTTAATAAAGAACCAACTAAAACAGTTCAAACCCCTTGTACATGGTGAGTTTCCAGAGTGTATCAATAGTCCAGAAAAACTGTGAGCTATAAAAAACTTTGAATAGCTCTCGTGTAAAATCCCTAAATAGATCTCAAGTTCTGCTTAGGGTGGAATAATTTTTCGTGCAACAGAAGCAAGAGAGGGACACTGGCCTTGTCCAAGACAGTAATACCTAGAAGGGACAGCTGTACTTTACTTAGCAATAGGATTGCTTTATTCTTCTGGTGCTATTTAGCAAATGGAAGAAAGGGACATTTTAGATTGTAAACTTTTGGGGGCAGGGAGTGTCTTTGCTCTTGTAGCTCTTCCTGATGGAAATCAGAGAATTCACATCCTCCCGTGTGCATCACAATCACTAGACATTGGTTGCTGCGCATCTTTTTTGGAACTTGCACTAAGGATTCTGGGACTCATTTGGACTCAATTAGAGCATCACCTGCTACATTTCAATGGAAAGAATAAAGGACAATTTTTTTAATGGATAAGACACAGGTGGGGGAAATCGACAACTGCATGAGAAGCAAGATAGAGACTGGGAGTCTTGGAACATCAGGGGGACAAATAATTTGGAAGAGCAAGCTGCAGACACGCATGCCTCCTTCACCAGCACAATTTACTGTTGCTCATTGCAATTTATGAATAGCTACTAATCAAAAGAACTCCTTGTGGCTATCAGAAAACGACTCTAAACACAGCATCTCTCTGGTGTCACAATCCCTCCCTCAGTGACTCTTCTATCAAATTTGCACCATTTGCAAGATTCTCCCCAAGTGCCGGAGCTGCAAACTCTGCCTGATAGCTGAAAACAAAGCTGTGTTCTTTCTGCATCATCACCAACCGTCAGCAACGATAAAGATCCCGGGATCTGGATTCAGCTGGCAATTTGGTGGATGATGTGCGAGGCACAATAGGATACAGCCTGCCTCTCTGCAGTTAGGCTGGCTCTGCAGTGCAGGCAGGAGTAAAAATACTTGCTTTTGCCAGGCAACTAAGCAGATATAGCTCAGAAGAAAACCTAGGGCCCAATCCATGCAGCGCTGGCAGTGGAAGGAACAGGATCAGCCCCCTTAGGAACAGGCAGGCATAGTAACAAGGTATTTTTCTATGGCTACTTTAAACAAAGCAAAACTCCCCAGACCAACTCCACTGTACTCTCTGTGTACTGTGCTCGCTCCACTGAGAGGGAAGCCGACTTTTCCCACAGACCCTAAAGAGCAACATCCTCAGCAAAGGCTTCATCCTGCAAACCTCCTGTGTGCAGAACTCCCATTGACTTCAGGGGGAGTCCTGAATACAGCAGTCCTGCAGGATCAAGCCGGAGTTCTGAAAAATGCTGGAGTGAGACTCAGACAATAGACCCAGAAGTATGGCCTTGTGGGTAAGGAATTGGACTGGAACTTGGGAGAGCTAGGTTAACTCCTGGCTCGGACACGTACTCCTTTGTGATGAGATACGCAGCAGGTTTAAAACAAATAAAAGGAAGTTCTTCTTCACGCAGCGCACAGTCAACCTGTGGAACTCCTTGCCTGAGGAGGTTGTGAAGGCTAGGACTATAACAGCGTTTAAAAGAGAACTGGATAAATTCATGGAGGTTAAGTCCATTAATGGCTATTAGCCAGGATGGGTAAGGAATGGTGTCCCTAGCCTCTGTTTGTCAGAGGGTGGAGATGGATGGCAGGAGAGAGATCACTTGATCATTACCTGTTAGGTTCACTCCCTCTGGGGCACCTGGCATTGGCCACTGTCGGCAGACAGGATGCTGGTTGGATGGACCTTTGGTCTGACCCAGTATGGCCGTTCTTATGAGATCAATCTATACATACTTGAGATGCTCAACTGCTATTGTAACCAGGGCCATAAAAGTACCTGTATAGATGAGAACATAAGTATGGCCATATTGGATCAGACCAATGATCCATCCACCCCAGTATCCTATCTTCCGACAGCGGCCGGTGCCAGATGCTTCCAAGGGAATGAACAGAACAGGGCAATTTTTCAAATGACCCATCCTGTTGTCCAGTCCCAGCTTTTGGCTAGCACAGATGGATGAACAGATAGAAGAAACCTATTTGGCCCACCCAATCCATCTCTAGGAGCCAATGGAGAATCCTTCCCTACAGCATATTTTCTAGAGTTTTGTTCCATCTCTTGTAAAATTCCCAAGCTATGGGACTTCCACCACTTCCTTAGGAGACTATTCCACAGTCTAACACATCTCCATTGAGCAACACTGACATTCTCACCATACAGATGCTTGTGACCTGTTATATTCTCTGCTCCGATATTCATCTCCACGCTATCCTGGCACTGAACAGAGGATTGTTTTCATGACTTGTCTGTAAGCAAAAGCTAAATTGTATTTACAGTTTTTTGGGGAAGTGTCTAATTCAACCCAACATTTACCACAAGCATCAGATTAATACTGTGATTCACTTGTGCTTAGATCTAATGATATGAATGAAGAGCAAGTTCAAACCAAATTCCAGAAACTTACAAATGTGTCCTTTCACATACACATATTCCCATACCCTCATCATTATAGATTTTTTTATAGGATCCTCTGAGCAAATATTTTCCTGCTTAGTTCTCTTAACTCAAACCTCACCTGTAAGACAAATTGTTACGAGGAGCAGACAAGGAATTGCCAGTTGCTCAACATTCATTCATAATCAGTGGCATACTTAGGAGACTCAGCATATTCCAGTGGATAGAGCACTGGATTGGAACTCAAGAGACGTGGGTTCTGTTCCCAGTTCTGCCACTGATCTATCATTTAACATCCATGCCTCTATTGCCCCTCCCACCCTTTGTCTGTCTTGTATTTCAATAGCAGTTTATCTGGGAGGTACTGTCTTTTACTATGGTTTGTAC